ATAGATAGATAGATAGATAGATAGATAGATAGATAGATAGATAGATAGATAGATAGATAGATAGATAGCTGTGTGCATGTGTGTGTGTGTGTTTGTGTGTGTATGCTCCAGCACAACTCTGGAACGCCTCGAGCAATTTCAACCAAACTTGGTACACAGGTGACTTACTCTCTGGAAACAAATACTGTGGGGGGTAAGTCACCCCTAACACCCCTCTGGGTATGTGTTCTGTTAAGATACAGCCTGTTGTGCCTTAAAATGACTTCTACTGTACTGCTGTAGAATGATTTCTGCTGTACAGCGCAGTGGAGTTGCCTTGGTAACGGCTTCACAGTACTCCACAAGGGGGCTCCTTCTACGAAGGGGGGGAAATCCAACATTAGAAATTACGTTTGGTCCGGACATTTTCAACATGGAGGTATCATTTTGCCTGACGCTTCTGGGGCAGAGGGAAAACATTTTTAACTGATTTAATTGTCACCGAAATCAGGGCTCAGGGAGAAGTTGCTCTTGCCATCACCTCTTCAGGAATTGCGGTGATGTTAATGGAAGGAGGGAGGACAGCTCATTCCGCACTTACGCTGCCACTTATAACTCATTCCTTTTCCTGAATAATACAGGATTGGGATAAATAAATACCCAGGCTTATCAGCTAATTTTTTTTTTAAAAGAACATTTGTAGCTTTTTAGGCTAAGTTATGCTCTAAGGCACAGACGAAATATAGAATCAAAATGATGACTGTCCCATTTTAATCTGAGTGGTTAAAAAGAAGAACTTCTACTATCCCGTAGAACTCCCAGGGGTAAGCTGCCGGGGATTTGCAAGGTTCAGGAGCACATCTAGCTAAGATTCTGTGCAACCCCCAAATTCCACTCCTGGCTGGCCACACCCACCCTACCCCGCCCCTCCCAGGTACCCCCGACACGGCCCACTTTGAATGCAGGTAATTGCAGGGCGAACATGGAGGCTCAGGGAAGGTGAAAAATGGCTCTACCAGAAGTTTGGAAAGGCCAGAAATGGGCCTGTTTCCGGTCTTCCCAAACTTCTGATAGACCTGTTTTCCACCCTCCCCGAGCCTCCGCATGCGCCAGAGGGCCTTTGGAGCCTGGGGAGGCAGTTTTTGCCCTCCAGAGGCCCGAGGAAAGCCTCCGGAACTCGGGGAGGGCAAAAACGCCCCCCTAGCCGTGGTGCAGGAGGCGAACTAGGCCACGCCCACCATGGCTATGCCCACTCAGCAACCAGGCAGAGAACCCCTTGCTAAAAATTTTGAAGCCCACCCCTGGAAATCCCTATTATTATTTTATTACCAGTGATGGGCAGCAGGAAGCCAGGTTAAAGTATGCAAATAAAACAACCTTATCTAATTCAAATTAATTGTACAACATACTTTTCATATACTTTCCCTTAAGAGATGGATCCCCATATTTAAATCTTGAAACACTGAGATATCGCCAGCAATGGAGCTTCGGTGTTTCCATTCTTGCTCTTTGGGGTATTTTTTACTACCGGAGAGTGGGAAACAATCAATTACTAAAGCAGAGTAGCATTCTTAGTATTCTTTTCAAAGCCTGATGCTTACGGTCCACACTCCATTTGATCGTCCAGCCATGAGGCCGAAGTAAATCATAGACAGCTTCCAACACAGTCTGCAGTTTCTGTTTCTGTCCGATTTCAGACTGCGTCACTTCAGCCACATTTAGTTTACGACCGGCAAGTTTTTCTAGATTGGAAACACAGATAAGCAGAAGTAAGATTTTACAAGTAAGTCTTTGCAAATACTTTGGCCCTACCCGCAGACGTAGTTACGACAGTGATGAAAAAGCAACTTTACAGACAATCCTCACATTCAAATGCTCCAACACTGAGGGTTTTTAAGAAGAGATTCAGTGGTAAGATTAAATTTTTTTATTACCGGTTCTGTGGGCGTGGCTTGGTGGGCGTGGTGTGGCTTGGTGGGCGTGGCAAGGGGAAGATATTATAAAATCTCCATTCCCTCCCCACTCCAGGGGAAGGCTACTGCAAAATCCCCAATTTCCTCCCGATCAGTTGGGACTCAGGAAGCAGTGAATAGATGGGGGCGGGGCCAGTCAGAGGTGGTTTTTGCCGGTTCTCCGAACTACTCAAAATTTCCGCTACTGGTTCTCCAGAACTGGTCAGAACCTGCTGAATGCCATCTCTTATGAAGATGTATTAAACTTGTTGGCTTCCTGTTCTGAGCCATATAGCACCACATGTCATCACCAGTTTTACGACTGCCAAAGGCCATTTCATAGAGGAACATACACTATATTGCCAAAAGTATTCGCTCACCTGCCTTTACTCGCATATGAACTTACTGTAA